GATAATTTCAATTAATTTTAACGAAAATTAATCTGATCATTTTTTTTTATCAAAGTTATTGAAATAGTTTATGAAAATTTAAGAAAAAGTGAAATAAATAAAGTAAAAATTTTTAGAGAAGGAATTTCTGATTTTTTGAAACAAATTTTGAGAGAACGTTTACTTATTTCGATTGCGATTCTTCATCAATTTCTCTCCACTTCAATTTCTCTTCTTCGAATTTGAAAATTTTAAGAAACTGATCTGATCGAAACGATTCGTTGCCTGTATACCTAGAGACGAGTTTTCCATGAACTAAACTGGTTTCGATGAAGGAGGGCTGGATGACCCGTGCACGAAGTGAATCATCGACGAGGAAACCATCGATTTCCACCGTTGTACTTCCACATGCACGTGCGTGCAACGTCGTTGCATGCGGCAGCAGCCCGACGTGTTCCATTGTTTCCAAAAGAATTCGCGCACGTGCGTGGGTGTGTCACGTATGCGCGAGCGCCTTGGAATTTTAAGCGGGCGCGAAGAAAACGACGCGTCTCGTCGTTTCGAACGCTGATCGAGAGTGAAAATCTTTGCCCGGTGAAAATTATCGTTATATTGAATTTTCCTATCTCGTAGCGAGAGGAAACATTTCACAGAGATCCAATTTTTCGGGGGATGGATTAAAATTTTTACGTGTTGGGACGAGATTGAAAATGATACTCGAAATTTTTAATCCATCGAAATTCGAAAATTAATTGGAATTCCAGTTTTTCTATAAATCTGACAGATGATTTTAATTTCCCTTTGATTACAATTACTTTGATGGATTATTAAAACAAGTTATCGAAATATTTATAAGAGTATAGTTTTTAGGCGGATAAAGTTAATTGAACTGGAAAATAAGAACGAAGAAGAATTAAGGAATTTTTCGAGTAACTTTGAGATAACTACAAACGACAATAACTACAACTATTATCTATTCAATCGATAATATTGAAATGGACAGATTGGAGGATTAAATAAAGTGATGAATAAAAATTTTTTCTTTTATTAAAGAACTCGTTGAAAATTATTAATTAATTATACGACATAATCGAAAAGGCGTCATCATTGACGATGACGGGATTAAAATCATGCGCGAGCGAGTAATATGTACAAATATTTTCATGATTTTTCTTTGGATGATTTGTCTGAGACGATAATTAGACGGGGACGAGGTCTCCTCGATATTTTATTTACAAAAAAAAAAAAAATGCGCTTTTTTGTACATGAGATCTCTATTTCAGGGTCGTGCCTCATTTTTTAATTGCTACTAACAATCCATCCATTGAATAATAATAATAATAATAATAATAATAATAATAATAATAATAAATTGAAAGATTCGTAATAAAAAGGATCTTTTTCTCTTAAATTTAATCACGACTTTATGATTTAATAACGGATAATATAATTATCAATGATATACGATGAGTAATTTCTTTTTTTTTTTATCTAAACAAAAATGTAAATCGAGAAAGAATTACAAATTCTATAGTAGAAGATTCTTCTTAAAAAAAAAAATAAAATAAAATAAAATAAAAAATTGGCAAAAGAATTATTTTTCTTATCCAATTCTTTCCAATTATTTTTCAATCTCTCAATTGTTTCATTGATCGAACCAACGATTCTTCCTTCGTTAAAAATGATAGTTTTTAATCGATTGAACTGCAACGATCTTGCATCTGTATCCTGAGAATACTGTTTGAAACATTCGTATCATAAATTCCTCGATTTATCTTTGACAATCCTCTTAGATTCGATCCTAAAAGAAATCTCTACCTTTTGTTTCGTTTTTTCACAAGAATCAAATAACAACTGTTCCCAACTCTTTCGTTTCGAAGAAACGTTTTTTTTCTTTCTTTCTTTCTTTCATTCATGATCAATTAAAAATCGTGAAGTGAAGTCGATTGATAAGATTACTTCACTTACATAAGGATAGTAGAAAGTTTCTACTAAGTTTCTACTAATTTCATTTTGTTCAACTTGTTTATTAGATAATATCTGTTAAATAAATAAGAATATTTTAAATAAGAATCGATAATTATTAAAATGGTTCGCAATTCGTATTCGAAATTTTTAAAATCATCGATATGAGATAATTATTAAATTCTTATTAATAAATAATTAACAGGATCCTATTAAAAAAAAAGAAATCCTAATTTGATTAATTTAACACCTATAATATATTTCTTCTTCCACTCGAATGAAAATATTCTTATTAAACGTTTCGTTATTATTCCACTCGCCATCTTTCCATCCATCGATTTTATTAAATTTTATTAAGAAAAATTCCCGATAAACTCGCGAAACACCTCTCTCATTTTTTATTATTACCTTGACGAAATATTACATAATTTACTTTTATACGTGCACGCACTATCAACCTATTACCTATACGTTTTATAAAGATTTCTTCAACCAGATATGCAAAGTGAATATAAATATAATTTCAAATAGACATTACCATTACAATTTCCATTCAATCAGTTGTTTAAAGTTCAACCTAAACTCTGAATTCCTAATCCAACTTGAATCAAATATATTGCCACAAATGCACATCTTATCAAATTCTTCAAAATAGATATTCGAAATGAATATTAAGATACTAAAAAAAAAAAAAATTACCATCCCCCTAACCTGTCTCTCTCACTCGTGCACACAGAGTGTTAATATATTCCTATCTCACTACATCTCTCAGTCAATTCTAAACGCATCTAAATTACCATATGACGAAACATTAATGTCAATCGAGGCTTTTTATTTACCGATATTATAAACATTATCGTTAAAACCTTCGCACCTCATGAGATGTCTCGAACATTCGTTCGTTCGATCATTCACAACTCGAAACAATTTTTATTAACTTTACACAATAAACCTCAACCTTTCAATATTTTCCTTTTTCCTTCCGAGAATCGACTGTACATATACATATATATATATATATATATTTATTTATCACAACGACAGGTCAATAGAGAACTCTCCCTCCCCCCTCGAACAAATCCATCCACAGAGCGGGGCCCGAAAAACGTCAAAATCAGGCGATCACAATACTGGCGGGGCACGA